TGTGGAATTTTGGTAATCCACATTCTAACAACTCAGAAAATAATGTGTGTTCAATCCATCATGCATGTAGCATGATCTGAACACGGAATGTCATGTCGATGGAAAGTATGTGTATAACATGTCTAATGGGTAGAATACACTCCAAGAGAATTTTTTTGTGATAAATGCCCAATTTTTGAAACTGGTGTTAGGAAATACCGGCGAAATCACTGTAAACTATTCTAGATATAAATAACCATTGTATTGAGGATGAAATTTCTGTAATCCACATGCTATGTACTCAGAAATGAAAGTTTGCCGAATCTGTGTTGCATGTAGCGTGCTCGGAACTCGGAATTTCATGCGAGGAAAACTGTAAATTACATATGTATTTGGTAAAAATCGATTCAAGTGTATTTCTCTTTGAAAAATTTCCGATTTTCAAACCTTGCTCTAGGGAACACTTCTGAAATAAAAGAAAATTTTATTAGAATTAAATATGCCTAATTAGGTGGGTGTAAATTTGGTAATCCACATTCTAACAATTCAAAAAGTACATTAGTTATATCTGTCATGCATGAAGCATGTTTGGAACATGGAAAGACATGGTGATGCGATATACATAAAAAAAATTCTATTGGGTAGGAATCGCTCAAAGAGAAATTTGTGTGGAAAATGCCCGATTATTCAAACCAGTGATTGGAAATACCTGCAAAATTAGAATAAAGTTTTCTATATGTAATTTCCCTTGTATTGAGGATCAAAGTTCATTAATCCGCATGCTCTGTACTTAGAAATAAATGGTTGCCGAATCAGTGTGACATGTATCATGTTCGGAACTTGGAATTTCATGATGAGGGAAACTGTGAATTACATATATATTAGTTAGAAATCACAACAAGGGAATTTTCCTTAGAAAAATGCCCGATTTTCGAAACTGGTTTTAGGGAACAATACGGAAATAAATGTAAATAATATTAAATTTAAATATACCTAATATGGTGGTTCAAAGTATGGTAATGTACATTCTCAAAACTCAGAAATGAACTTTTTTTAAATCAGTCATGCATGTAGCATGTTCAGAACACGGAATGTCATGGTGATGGAAAGAATGTAAATAACATGTCTATTGGGTAGAATTCGCTCCAAGAGAAATTTTGTGTGGAAAATGCCCGGTATTTGAAACTGGTGTTTGGAAATACCGGCGAAATCATAGTAAAGATTTCTAGATGTTAATTTTCCTTGTATTGAGTATGAATATTTGGTAAACGACATGCTCCCTACTCAGAAATGGATGTTTGCCAAATCCGTGCTGAATTTAGTGATGTTGGAACACGGAATTTCATGATGAGGGAAACTGTATCTTACAAATATATTTGTTCAAAACTGCTCCAAGAGAATTTTTTTATGAAATATTCCCAATTTTCACAACTGGTGTAAGGGAGCACCTCTGAAATAAAAGTAAATGATATTAGATATAAATATGCCTAATATGGTGGTTGAAAATTTGGTGATCCACATTCTCAGAACTCAGAAATGAACATTTGTTAAATTTGTAATGCATGTGAGATGTTCTGAACACGTAATGTCATGGTGATGGGAACTATTTAAATAACAATTCTATCAGGTAGAATTTGCTTCAAGAGGATTACTTTGTGAAAAAAGCCGGATAAATGAATCTGGGGTAAGGAAATACCTGTGAAATCAGATTAAAATTTCTATATGGTAATATCCATTGAATTGAGGATGAAATGTTGGTTATCCACATGCCCTCATCTAAGTAATTAATATTTGTGGAACCCGTGTGGCATGTTACGTGTTCGTAACTCGGAATTTCATGATGAGGGAAATTGTAACTTACATATGTATTGGTTAACAATAGCTCCAAGAGAATTTTTGTTTGTAAAAATCCCAATTTCAGAAACTGGCATTAGGGAACCCCTCTGAAATAAAATTAAATGACATCAGATACAAATATGCCTAATATTGTGGTTGAAAATTTGGTAATCCACATTCTCACATCTCAGAAATGAACATTTGTTAAATCCATCATGCATGTATCATGTTTGGAACACGGAATGTCGTGGTGATTGAAACTATGTAAATAAAATATCTATTGTTTAGAATTCACTCCAACAAAATTTTTGTGTGGAAAAAGTCTGATTTTTAAACAGTGTTTGGAAAAACCTGCAAAATCAGAGTAAATATCTCTATATGTAAATTTCCCTTGTATTTAGGATGAAAGTTCGGTAATCCACATGCTCTGTACTGAGTCATGAATGTTTGCCGAAACTGTGCTGCATGTACCGTGTTTGGAACTTGGAATTTCATGATAAGGGAACCTGTAAAATGAATAGATATTAGTTAGAAATCGCTCTAAGAGAAATTTTCTTTGAAAAATTCCCGATTTTGAAACTGGCGTTAGGGAACCCATCTAAAATAATGTAAATTCGATTAGATTCAAATATGCCTAATATGGTGGTTGAAAGATTGGTAATCCAAATTCTCACAACTCAGAAATGAACGTTTTTTAAATCAGTCATGCATGAAGCATGCTCGCAACACGGAATGTCATGATAATGTAAAGTATGAAAATAAAATTTCTATTGGTAGAATTCGCTCCAAGAGAATTTTTGTGTGGAAAGTGTGTGGTTTTTAAAACTGGTGTGAGGAACCCAAGCAAAATCATAGAATCGGTTTCTAGATGTAAATATCCATTTTATTGAGGATGGAATTTCAGTAATCCACATGCTCTGTACTCAGTAATGAAAGATTGCTGAATCCGTGTTGCATGTAGCGTGTTCGGTATTTGGAATTTCATGATGAGGAAAATTGTAAATTACATATGTAATGGTTACAAATCGATTCAAGAGTATTTTTCTTTGAAAAATTCCCGATTTTCAAAACTTGCTGAATGGAACACTTCTGAAATAAAAGTAAACGTTATTAGAATTAATTATGCCTAATTTGGTGGGTGAAAATTTGATAATCCGCATTCTAACACCT